AATAATTATAACAATAATAATAATAATATTAATAATAATAATAATAACAATAGATAGCATTTGTATAGCGCAAATCCCCGCTCAACAGCAAGCTCTATGTGCTTCACAATCTAAACTAATACCTATCTTCTTTTTTTTTGTAAGAGTTTTACGGCACTTGCAAAACAATAAAGTCATATAAGTGCCGAAGATTAGAGGTGTTACAAGAGAGTAACATACACAAAAAAGAAGGAGGAGAGATAAAGACAATAGATGTTTGATAGGAAAGAAGGCGCAAACCACACCAGAGCACTCGCCAACCAACCACAACGACAAAGGTAGCCATAATAATAACGACAAAAATTATAATAATAATAATAATAATAATAATAGATGGCATTTGTATAGGGCGAACCCCCGCTCAACAGCACGCTCTATGTGCTGCACAATTTAAACTATAATGTATCAAATAATAATAATACAAAAATAACAACAACAACAATAATAATAATACTAATAACAAGGAAAAGAACAAAACGAAGAAAAAGAAGAAGAAGAAGAAGAAGAAGAAGAGGTGACCCAGCGTGACTCACCATGTTGGAAAAAGTAGTGATTCAGCGAGACTCACCGTGTTGGAAAAAGTAGTGATTCAGCGAGGCGATGAATGCCCCAGGGGCCTCACACAAGTGGACAGACAGGAAGTCGACATCAGGGACGAGATTGTGGCAGCTCAGGATCTCGTAGAACTTGAGCCAGGCCTGGGTGCACAACTCCACATCCAAACCTCTGGAGCAGATTCCATCGATACAAGCCAAGAATGAAAGAAATACCAAAACAAAAGATTCCCATTCCTAAAGCGATAGCCTGTAACAAGTCTGAGATTCTTCCTAAATATGTGTCGGTCAGTTCCATCCAACGTCTAGCCCTCAAGTTCCCTCCAACGTCTAGCCCTCAAGTTCCCCCCAACATCTAGCCCTCAAGTTCCCCCCAACATCTAGCCCTCAAGTTCCCTCCAATGTCTAGCCCTCAAGTTCCCTCCAACGTCTAGCCTCCAATACAAAACCCTTCATCACCTGAGCCTGTCAGTTTACTCCAAAACTAAAAAAAACCAAAACATCGACTTGAAATAGCTCTCCAATTATATCACATCACTAAAATACACAATAAAAATTATCTCCGCTTTTTCAGTCCCACATAAAAGAAGCTTCACTAGAGTTGGGTCAATTCGTGACTGACATCAACAGCTTGCATCACAGAGATCTAGGAAACATCAACAGTTTGCATCACAGAGATCTAGGAAACATAAAATAAATACATACACATCTATAGGCGAAAAGAAGGAACCAGTTCTACATGACAACGACCAAGTCTTGGAATCTGACCCTACCCTCATCCCAGAGCCAGGATAAACTCAAAACAATTACATTAAACAACAAGTTAGTTTTTTAGTTTTAGAGTAAGGTTTTACGGCGCTCGCAACTGTATAAGGTCATATGAGCGCCAAGGGGTGGATCTCAACAGAGAAGTCCAAACAGGGAATCAGACTTACTCTGCTCACCTCTCTGGCTTCAACAGCACAAAGTCTGCTTCGACTATCAAGGCACCCCGGAAATTATCGAAATAGCAGTTCACAAGAGTGTGACAAACATACAAAAGAAATAGAGGAAAATGACGATAGGATGAGGAAAGAAAAAGCAGCAGTTCCCTGTTGCAGTTCAGGCACAGTTATGAGCATGACATGGATGAATCAACCCATTTACAATTCTACTGAGCATAAGAACATGTTAATATCCCCCCTTTGGGAATGGCCTAAAGACACTTCAGTCAGTGGCACCACCCCGTGGGTTACAGCAGATCAGGTGTCTTGTACTTGTGACACAACAGGAACAAACTCTCACTTGACACAACAGGAACAAACTCTCACTTGACACAAACTCTCACTTGACACAAACTCTCACTTGACACAACAGGAACAAACTCTCACTTGACACAACAGGAACAAACTCTCACTTGACGTGCGGCAAGATTTTCCCGGCCAAGTTACAGTCCGTGGTGTGTTTGTGCCAGGTCTCGATGTCTTTGCCGCTCAGCTGGTCCTTCACACCGTTCAAGTCTTCTTTCAACCGCATCAGTTTGTCATCTCTGCGAGTTTCTTTGTGAAACTTGAGTTCACCTGTCAAGACAAACAACACAACAATTTGTTATTCCAGTCCTTTAGTACAACTTTTCCATCTCATTTTCCTTATACAAGAGGTAATAGTAAAATAAAACTGAAACGTGTTCATTTCACTTTTCCTTGCTACTAGACTGGACACTTTGTGGAAAGATTGAAACAAAAACAGCTGGACTGAATTTTAGTACAGTAAAATCTGTTCTTCCAGCCACCTGTCCAAGACAATCACCTGTACAAAAGACCATTTCCTCGATTGTGCTTTTTTTATTTATAAAGACACTGTCCAAGACAATCACCGGTCCAAAACAATCTCTTTTCTCATCGACAGTGGGCGGCCATCTTGAACAATGTCAACTGTAACGTAGGTACAAACAAGGTCATCTTTTTGCCAGCTAGATTGTTGAGAGAACACAAGGTTTTATGCTACTGCTGTACATTGTATAGTATTGTATTGTAAAGCGCTCAGAGCCTGTATACTTGAATCGGGGTAGAGCGCGATATAAATGTCCTTCATTATTATTATCATTTCAGTATGACCCCACCCGTCATAGAGTTGTACCCCCTGCTTACTTCTATAGAGATGCCTTTGCAAGTCTGAACATATGCTTTGTACAGAGGAAAGTAGAATTTCCAAAGATCTTTACGAAGAACTTGCCTTAGGATGAAACTTCAAGAACGACCTCCATAACGCTTCAATGAGATCCATGGGTTAACATATGAGCCACACGTACAAGAACGTACCCAAACATCCTTGAAGCTACAGCTACAGTGAAAGACAGAAGCAGCGCGAAGATTGAAGTAGAGAAGATCTTCTGAGGTTTCAATAGAGAAAAGTCCGTAAAAGATGACTCACAAAGGAACTAGAAAAAAGTCAGCATGAGAGAAAAAAAAAATCTGTAAAAAATTTATCTTGAACAAACTAGCTACAGAGTACTGTGGAATCCATCATCACAAAAGCTCTGATCCAAACCTCACTCCGCGTTCAAAGAAAACATGTGTGATTGTGTGTGTGCGTGTGTGTGTTAGTTTGTGTATATATGTCTGTATATATATATGTCTGTGTGTATGTCTGTGTGTGTGTGTGTTTGTGTGTGTGTGTGTGTG